GAGGTAACTGGATAAGCATATGGAGCAGAGGTCCATCAGTGGCTATTAGCCACAAGGTATAGATAGGGACTCTGGGGCAAGTGATGCTCTGTCATCTTGGTGCTTGGGGGGGGGGGCAGCAGTGGGAGGGCTTCTGGAGTTCTGGCCCCACTGCTGGACCTCCTGATGGCCCCTGGTATTTTTGGCCCCTGTGTGACAGAGTGTTGGACTGGATGGACCATTGGCCTGATCCAGCATTGGCTTCTCTTAGGTTCTTATAAGAGAGAATTAGATAAGCGTATGGAGCAGAGGTCCATCAGTGGCTATTAGCCGCAAGGTATAGATAGGGGCTCTGGGGCAAGGGATGCTCTGTCTTCTTGGTGCTTGGGGGGGTCAACAGTGGGAGGGCTCCTAGTGTCCTGGCCCCACTGGTGGACCTCCTGATGGCACCTGGTATTTCTGGCCACTGTGTGATACAGAGTGTTGGACTGGATGGGCCTTTGGCCTGATGATCCAACATGGGCTTCTCTTAGGTTCTTAACTCTCGCAGCCATACATTGCTTAGTTTACTCAGGAGTAAATCTCTCTTCCCTCCACTGCTGCAAATAAATAGCCTTACGCACGTTTGAAGCCCCCCCCCCCAAACCACACAAGTGACTCGCAGAGCAATCCTAATCAGATCTACCCACAATCCTAAAATCTCGGGGCTTACTCCCAGGAAGGCGTCCCGACGAGCGCACTGTGATTGCGAGGCTCGTCCTGTTTTAAGAACACGCGTCCCCCCAGCCAGCGCTCACACGAACACTCCACCCGCACCCTGCTTCTGCTACCACCACTCGTATGATGTCTTGCAACGCCGCCTCGCAGAGTTCCTTTAATTGTTCAATGTATTATTATTATTTTAAAGTCCATTCCTTTTACGTCCCCAGCCGGGACTCGAACTCCCGGCACTCCAGCGCCGACGCTCCGTCCCCCGGCAGCCCCGCCCTCCGACCCGGGATTATGCGAGCCTCGCGCGGTTTCCAGGGCAACACCGCTGCGTCAAGATGGCGGCCCCGAAGCGCGAAGGGATCCTGCGCGGGCCCTCTGGCGCCCCGTCCCGCCATGCCATCACTTTCGCCAAAGGCAGCCCCAGCGTCGTCCAGAGGCCAGTGATTGACGGGAGGGGGTGGGACGCCGTGTGCGCCTGCGTCGAGGGGCGGGGAGGGGGGAAGGGTCTCTGGGCTCTTATCCAAGCAACTGCCTGAAGGGGACACTGGGGGCGGCGGCTGCCAACCTCCCGGTGGGGGCTGGAGACCTCCCGGAATTACAATGGACGCCCGTGGAAATAGATTCAAGTGGGTAGCCGCGTGGGTCTGAAGCAAAACTAAAAAGTGAACGAGTACAATAGTGAAAGACTTTGTTCTGCTGCTTCAGACCAACGTGGCGACCCACCTGAATCTACCTTCCTGTGCTAGAGCTACTCTTGAACTGATTAAATAGGCCAGAATCACCATTATACAGACAACACCTGCATATATGTAAATAAGAGAACAAAGTCTTGAGTCCAGGACCAAAAAAGTTTCATTCTGGGCATAAGCTTTCATGGGCATGCACGCTTCTTCAGATGCACAAGGAAGCTTCTACCCAGAATTAAACTTTGTCGGTCTTAAAGGTGCCCCTGGAATCAGACTTTGTTCTATTGATCTCCAGATGCCATAAATCACCTACAGGGTGTCTGTTGTGGGGAGGGGAAGGGAGAGGAGTTTGTAAGCCGCTCTGAGACTCCTTTGGGTAGTGAAGGGCCATGGGGTATAAATCCCATCTCTTCTTCTTCTTCTGGTCTATTCACTCTTCTACTGATGCTGTTCCAGTTTGGTGTTGTGGCTAGGAGCGCGGACTCTAATCTGGGAGAACCGGGTTGGATTCCCCACTCCTCCACTTGCACCTGGCTGGATGGCCTTGGGCAAGCCGTAGTTCTGACAAGAGCTGTCCTTGGAAAAGAGCAGCTTCTGTCAGAGCTCTCTCAGCCCCGCCTACCTCAGAGGGTTTCTGTCGTGGGGAGGGGAAGGGAAAGGAGTTTGTCAGCCGCTCTGAGACACCTTTGGGTAGTGAAGGGAGGGGTATAAATCCAATCTCTTTTTTCTTCTTCTAAAACATTTGTTCCACTTCTCCCAGAGCAAAAGGCGGCTTTGGAAAGGGGACTGTGTGGCCTTACCTCCCAAGGTCCCTCCCTCTAAGCTATGAGGTCCTGTGAGCAAAAATTCTGCTTTGTGAGCTACTGGCACTAAAGTTGTGAGCGAGCAATTTGGCTGCTGCATCAATTCCTTTGCTCTGGAGCCAGGGGTCATTTCCTGCAGGAGTGCACAGGAGCGGAGCTCCGGCAGTAAAGAGCCCAGGGGGCGGGCACATGCAACAAGCCCCACCCCCTGCTCCCAGCAGCCCTCAGTCAGAGCAAGAAGCAGACAGGCAAGGTGCAGAGCCCCCCCTGTCCAGAACAGTCCAGTGGCACCATTAAGACCAAGTTTTATTCAGGTACAAGTTCTCCCTCCTCTGTGAGGGCAGATCTGCGCGCTCCCGCCCCCCATAGCTAGCAATCCAAAAGAGTCCAGTGGAGCCTGACCGGTGGGTGTTGCCTTCTGACACACTTCCGGTGATGTCAGGGGGTGTGGCCTATGCAAATAAGTTATGCTAATGAGTTATGCTAAAGAGCTCCTGCACCTCTTTTTCTATGAAATGACCCCTGTCTGCAGCCATCCTTCCTGGGCGAAGGCAAAAATGTGAACGCCGGAGGCTAAAAACCTGTGAGCTGGCTCTCACTCACTCAGCTTAGAGGGAACACTGCTCTCCAGGCCGTATCCTCTAATCTCCCAACAAGTATTTCTGAACCCCGAGTCGGCAGCCTGTGGTGATGACAGTGCAATTATTTTCTCCCTCACAAACATGTTTTTCACATGCAGGTGGTCGAATAGAAATCTAGGGGACTGATTGGCAAAAGATTCCTCTCCATTTAGGGCTGCCAACTCCGGGTTGGGAAATTACTGCAGGTTTTGAGGGTGGAGGCTGGTGAGGGCGGGGTTTGGGGAGAGGAAGGGCTCCAAGGGGATATGTCATAGAATGCCCCCTCCAAAACAGCCCTAGTTGTAATCCCAGGACATCTCCAGCCACCTGGAGCCTGGGGAGGGCGGGGCTTAGGGGAGGGAGGGGGCCTCGGCGGAGTATTGTGCCATAAGGACATGCTCATGAAATAAGGTCGCTGGCTCCTCCTGGCCACCAGCAGCCGATGGGGGGGGGGGTAGAGTTGCCAGATCCAGGCTGGGGACCTCCTGGAGATTTGGGGGTGGAGCCCGGGGAGAAGAGAGACCTGAATGGGGTACGATGCTGTAGAGCCCCGCCCTCGAAAGCATCCATTTCTCCAGGGGAACTATCTCTCTCGTCTGGAGATGAATTGTAATCTCCCAGCGATCCCCAGGTCCCACCTGGAGGCTGGCATCCCTGTCATGAAACCTTTTCGTACCTTTTCATCCTCCTTCCCAATCTACTAGTGAAGCCTGATCTACACAGGCGCTGCAATGAGACGGTGAAGGCCTGGCACGCCGGAATGGACTGTGCAGCTTCAGGCTGCCAATAGGGGAGGCCACGTTTGTTTGTTTTTCTCCCCATGGTTGGTGTCGTGGTTAAGTGTGCGGACTCTAATCTGGGAGAACCGGGTTTGATTCCCCATTCCCTCCTCCACATGCAGCCAGCTGGGTGACCTTGGCTCAGTCACAAGTTCTTTCAGAGCTGTTCTCTCAGAGTCTCAGAGCGGCTTACAGACTCCTTTCCCTTCCCCTCCCCACAACAGACACCCTGGGAGGCAGGTGGGGCTGAGAGAGCTCTGACAGAAACTGCTCTTTTTCAAGGACAGCTCTTGTCAGGACTATGGCTTGCCCAGGGTAATCCAGCAGGTGCAAGTGGAGGAGTGGGGAATCAAACCCGGTTCTCCCAGATTAGAGTCCACGCACTTAACCACGACACCAAACATGGGGAGAAAGACAAACAAACGTGGCCTCCCCTATTTGCAGCCTGAAGCTGTACAGTCCATTTCAGCCTGCCCCGACGGGTGACAAGGAAACGGTGGCATTGCTACGAAAGTAGATCTTATTTTGGGTCACAGTTTCATAGCCTTGTTGATGGCTGCGTACACTGTTTTGATGGCATCGGTTTGCAAAATCCCCCTTGATTCCCAGGGTAGAAAGGTGGAGGGCTACAACTGAGGTCAAAAAATAAAAGCCAAATGACAGGAAGAGAGAAAGGAAAAAGATTACATTCTCACATTGCATATTCCGAGTCCCGTACAAAAGATCAGTACGCAGTCAAGACGATCCAAATAGAACAGAGGGTGGGTGAGAATCGGCCCTTTTACACCATCTGATTGTGGAATTCCACAAGCTGGATTTGAAGAGAGCAGGCAGACTGATTAACTTGAAACCGTATTGTTGGTTTACCGCTTTCAGATCAATCAAACCTGTCGTGTGGAAGGATGAACTCTACGCTGCCAGCACCGGAGAAGTCAACTGGCTCCAAATGTGTCTGCAAAAAACTGAAAGTCCCACCCAGGCCGATATTAATGTAAATTCCATTTACATAGTTGTCGCTTAATGGCAGGAGATGCATTTTTTGACATGCTGCATCTAATTTCTACACAGGTGTAGTGATGCCTTTCAACATATCATGCTGGGGCAAGAGGAGAGGGGGGGTGTGGATGGAGGGGGGGGCATGCCAAGATAAACTAAGGGACATAGGCGGGGCTCTCTTTTTTGGAAAAACAGCTGCCGAAACTCTCAAGAGGGAAATGAAGTTTTCAATCTTACTGAAAACTCACGGAGCTGCGGTGGCTCAAGTGGCTAAGATGCTGAACTGCAGGCTGTGGAAGGTCGGTAGTTCAGCAGTTCGACACCCGGGTTGCCGCATGATGGAGTGAGCTCCCGTCTCTAGTTCCAGCTCCTGTCAACCTAGCAGTTCGAAAGCAAGAAATTGCAAGTAGACAAATAGGTACCACTTCGGTGGGAAGGGAACAGCGTTCCGTGCACCTTGGTGTTTAGTCATGCCGGCCACATGACCACGGAAACGTCTTCGGACAGCGCTGGCTCTTCGGCTTTGAAACGGAGATGAGCACCGCAACCCTAGAGTCGGACTCGACTGGCTTTCGAGCAAGGGAACCTTTACCTTTACTTACTAAAAACTCAGGAGCTTTTAAACATTTAAAACAGAATGTGGTCGAAGAGTTTCCGGAACTCGGTTCCGGCGTGTTCCCCCAGGAAGCCCTGATTTACCTGGGGTGGGGTTTGAGGAGGGGAGAATAACGCCATGGAGTCCACCTTCCAAAACAGCCCTTTCCTCCAGGTGATCTCTGTTGCCTGGAGTTCAGTTGTAAGAGCGGGAGATCTCCAGCCACCGCCTGGAGGTTGGCAATCCTAGGCTCTCCCGATCTCATTAGCTTTCAGAAGCTAAGCAGGGTCGGCCCTGGTTAGTATTTGGATGGGAGACCACTGAGGAAACCCATGGTCATGACACACAGGTAAGGCAATGGTAAACCACCCCTGGGTGTTTCTTGGCTTGGAAACCCCATGGGGAGCTGCTGGTGTGACCTTGGGCCAGTAACATGCTCTCTCAGAGCTGTTCTCTCAAGAGCAGTCCTCAAGAAAGCTCTCTCAGCCCCACCGGTTACCTCACAGGGTGTCTGTTGTGGGGAGGGGAAGGGAAAGGAGATTGTAAGCCGCTCTGAGACTCCTTCGGGTAGTCAGAGGTGCTTTCACACCCACGAAATAACGCACTTTCAATCCACTTCCAATGCACTTTGCAACTGGGTTCTTACTGTGTGAAATGGCAAAATCCACTCGCCAACGTTCGCTGAAGTGGATCGAAACGGCACTTTTTAGCACGTGCAAAAGTGGTGTGTTATCAACAAAGTGATGCTACTCCTGATAAATCTCAGAATAGCCTGCCTCAACTAGGCCGCTTTCTCTGTACAATAGACCTGCGGAGTAGGCTTCTTTGATAAATGGGACATTCCAGTTTGGTGTAGTGGTTAAGTGCGTGGACTCTAATCTGGGAGAACGGGGTTTGATTCCCCACTCCTCCACTCGCAGCTGCTGGATGACCTTGGGCAAGCCGTAACTCTGATAAGAGCTGTTGTTGAAAAAGAGCCGTTTCTGTCAAGAGCTCTCTCCGCCCCACCTACCTCACAAGGGAGTCTGTTGTGGGGAGGGGAAGGGGAAGGAGTTTGTAAGCCCCTCTGAGACTCCTTTGGGTAGTGAAGGGCCATGGGGTATAAATCCAATTTTTTTTCCTCCTCCTCCTCCTCCTTCCCCCACTTGGTCCTTTGATTCTGTGGGACCAGGCCTGGGGTGCGGAGTAGCTGTTCAAGATGGTATCTGCTTGACATGCCAAAGCATCGAGGTTCAGTCCCTACCACATCCAGTTTAAAAAGGGATCGAGTTTTTTATTTATTCACCTCCCAGCTTACTTGCTACGGGCTGCTGAGTCAAAGGCGGAGCATCTGCTCAGCAGGCCCAAGGATCTTTTTTGTCCCCGCCAGGGTTTCTCTGCACTGCATACATCTGCCCTTTTCGGCCGGCTGGACTGTCTCAAAATGCTGGTGGAGAAGTATGGGGTCAGCGTAGACTTGGCCAGCCTGACGGGCTGGCGGCCCATCCACCTGGTCATGAACAAGGAGAGCGAGAACCGTGCGCTGGAGTGCCTCCAGTACCTGATCGGCAAAGAGGCCGACGTCAATGTGTAAGTGCCTCGGGCAGGGCGGCTCGCTGGGTGTCCTTGGGCCAGTCACGCTCTCTCAGCCTGACCTGCCTTGCAGGGTCGTTGTGAGGGTGAAATGGAGGCGAGGAGACTGAGGCGAGTTCCCCCTGGGGCAAAAGGTGGGGCAGGGCTATTTTTGGGCAGGAACGCACAGGAACGGAGTTCTGGCTGGCTTCAGAGTTGGCCACACCCACTACAGCCAAAACCTCTGCGTGCCTGGCTACAGAGGGAAGGGGCGCCCGGGCAAGCCAAGGGAAGGCATGGGGGTGTGGCCTAATATGCTAATGAGCTGCACTGTTGGGGGTGCGCCCTAATACGTTAATGGGTTTCTGCTGTTGGGTGTGGCCCATTATGCTAATGCTGGGCTTTTTCTACCAAAAAAAGCCCTAGTATATATAAAGAAACCAGCCAATCAACAAACCTGCCTTTCCCAGACAGAACCAAAACGGAATCTCGCCTCTCCACAAGGCCGCCAGTGAAGGCCGAACCGATTGCGTCAAGGTCCTGATTGAGGCCGGGGCAGACGTCCACGCCAAGGACACCGAAGGTCAAGAGCCCATCGACCTCTGCAGAATGTGGGGCCACAGAGGGTGCTCCAAGTGAGTGCTTCGTCTCCGGGCATGGTGGCAGCGGAAGGATGACCATCTCCACAGGGCTGCCAACCTCCAGGTGGGAGTCCAAACGAAACATCCGTGACAAAAATAACGAAGAGTCAATAAAGAGATATATATGCGAAATCGTTTACTATAATAGTTATACTTCTGTGGAAAACTCTCTTCTTTTATTGCTCACACGCAACGGATGTTGTGCAATAAAAATATCTGTTTCACAAGGATTGCTTTAGCTGAGCGTATAGGAATTACAATTCTTATCCATTTCCACTTATCAGCTCTTGAAGTAAACGTCCCATGTGGACTCTCTGATACCAGAACCCAAGGTCTTCACAGAGAGTCGACATGGGGTGTTTATTTCAAGAGCTGATAAGTGGAAATGGATAAGAATTGTAATTGCTACACGCTCAGATAAAGCAATCCTTGTGAAACGGATATTTTTATTGCACAACATCCGTTGCGTGTGAGCGATAAAAGAAGAGAGTTTTCCACAGAAGTATAATTATTATGAGGAGCTGCGGTGGCTCAAGTGGTTAAGACGCTGAACTGCAGGCTGGAAGGTCGGTAGTTCAGCAGTTCGAGACCTAGGTGCCGCATGACAGAGTGAGCTCCCGTCTCTAGTTCCAGCTCCTGCCAACCTAGCAGTTCGAAAGCAAGAAATTACAAGTAGATAAATAGGGACCACATCGGTGGGAAGGGAACAGCGTTCCACACGCCTCGGTGTTTAGTCATGCCGGCCACATGACCACGGAAACGTCTACGGACAGCGCTGGCTCTTCGGCTTGGAAACGGAGATGAGCACCACAACCCTAGAGTCGGACTCGACTGGCTTTCGAGCAAGGGAGACCTTTACCTTTTTATAATTATTATAGTAAACAAATTTGCATATATATCTTTATTGACTCTTTGTTATTTTTGTTAGGGATGTTTTGTTTGGACTTCCATTTCCTCCCGTGACCTCTCACTTTTGGCTTCAGCCTCCTGGTGGGGCCTGGGGATCTCCCGCCTTTACAACTGGTCTCCGGATGACAGAGATTAGCTCCCCTGGAGAAAGTAGCTGCTCTGGAGGGTGGACTCTATGGCATTGGACGCCGCTGAGGTCCCAAACCCCACCCTCTCCAGTCTGCGCCCCCAAATCTCCAGGAATTTCCCAACGCAAAGCAGCTGAGCCTACATGTGCGGTGAGCTCAAACCGCCAAGTCCAGCCCTGTCCACTTCATTGGTTCGGCCCAGTCATTCTACGCTGCTGGTCGTATTGGTTCTGCAGCCCTGTGAGAGAAACTGCCTTCTATTGCCACATGCAGTGTGCCGCGTGCGAAGGTTTCTGTTTCCTGTGCCTCCTGCTGATGCCTCTCCTCCAACACTACCTCTCTGTCTCTGCAGATATCTCGCTTCTGCCATGTGGAAGATAGACAAGCAGAATCTTGCGCGGGAGGTCAGGCGGCTGGATGAGATCAAGAAAGAGTGCCAAGCGAAGGAGGAAGAGTCCTTGAGAAGACGGCAGGTAAACAGCCACACAGAACATTGCCAGAAGTCATTTGGAGCGGTGCCCGGTTTATTTGTATGTCGCTTTTCTTTCAGTGAGAGGCCATAGCAGCTTGCAATATTTAAAAATACAAGACAAGAAACACAGAGACAGACTGACAAACAAGGCAGGTCTCCGCAGGTAGATCTCCCCCCTCTTCCCCAGACTAAGAAGAAGAAGAGATTGGATTTATACCCCGCCCTTCACTACCCAAAGGTGTCTCAAGAACAGCTCTTGTCAGAACAACGGCTTGCCCAGGGTCATCCAGCAGCTGCGAGTGGAGTGGGGAATCAAACCCGGTTCTCCCAGATTAGAGTCCGCGCACTTAACCACCACACCAAACTTAACCACTACACCAAACTACACTACACCAAGAAGAGATTGGGTTTATACCCCACCCTTCACTACCCGAAGGCGTCTCAGAGCAGCTTACAAACTCCTTTCCCTTCCCCTCCCCACAACAGACACCCTGTGAGGTTGGTCGGGCTGAGAGAGCTCTTTCTGCTCAGCCTCTGGGCCAGGCCCATAGCCATGGAGGGGCATTTGGGGCTGGAGCCCCACCACCCATGAGCCCTGCCCCACCATTTGACTTTCCAAGTCTTAGGAGGAAAGGCTGAAAGAGTTGGGTCTGTTTAGCCTGGGAAACAGAAGGCTTAGAGGGGACATGATGGCAGTCTTCAAGTATTGGAAGGGCTGTCATGTAGAAGATGGAGCAGATCTCTTCTCTTCTCTCTTGCTCCGGATTGGAAGACTAGATCTAATGGGTGGAAATGACAAGGGAGATGTTTTCAAGCGGAGGCTGGACGACCATCCTTTAGGGCAATTTTTTTGCCTTGCTCCTGCAGAGTGCAGGGGGTTGGACTAGATGACCTTCACGGTCCCTTCCAACTCTAACATTCTATGGTTCTATGATTCTTCAGCTACTGCGAGCTAGCTGAATCTTCCTGGCTTGCCCCCCTCCCAGTTGTGAATGCCGGCTGCACTTTTTAAGAAAGCCGTGGGAAGTTGGACCGTGTCCAGTGGAGGGCAAGGAGGATGGGCCAGGGTTTGGACACAAAAGCCCTAACGAGAAGGGGTGAAGGAACTGGGTGTGTTTGGCTTGGGGAAGGCAGAGGAGGGAAGCGCTAATAGCCCTCTTCAAATAACTGGAGGAGGAGCCCCACGGAAAAGTCCAAGGACTTGCTTGCTGCCAGACTGCTTCAGTTTCAAGAGCAGAGCCTCGCTAAGCATGATGGTAACTTCCTAAATCGACAGCTGATGCTTTTCACAGGTTGGGGGGTGGGTCCTCCCACCCTGGAGGTCCTCAGGCAGAGGGCAGCCATCTGTCAGGGATTCTCTGTCTTTGGATTTCGGGCATCGGGTGTAGTCCAGCATCCTGTTTCTCGCAGTGAAACGGGCTGCCCTGTAGAGTTAGTAAACGGGGCGCAGAGGCCAAGGCCTTCCCCCGATGCCGCCTCTCCCTACTGGGTTTCAGAGGTTGGTTCCTGTTATGTATTGAGCCTGAACTGCCCATGCAAAAAGACTGAGCTTGGGGATGCATAACAATAGCTTGCTAGGATCCCAGAATGAACCAGTAGGGAGACAGGGATCCTGGAGTAAACCAATTGGGAAATTCCAGGGGTTCCAGTCCTCTTTCTCTTGCGGAATCACTAATAAACTATGAGCCGATCACTTCTACGCATCTGAACCCAGTATATTTCAGCTGCCCCTGGATATGGAGGCCCCCTTCAGTTGCCATGGCTACTAGCCACTGATGGATCTCTCCTCCATGAATCATAGAATCATAGAATGTTAGAGTTGGAAGGGACCTTGCAGGTCATCCAGTCCAACCCCTGCACAAGGCAGGAGCACAGCCGAAAGAGAGCCCTAGAACATACCCAAAAGAGGGTCGTCCAGCCTCCGCTTGGAAACGTCCAGCGAAGGAGCCTCCACCGCCTCCCGAGGCAGTCTGTTCCGTTGCTCAACCACTCTCACGGTTAGGAAGTCTCTCCTGATATTTACTCGGTAACGACTCCCTGGTAACTTCCACCCATTAGATCTAGTCTTGCAATCTGGAGCAAGAGAGAATAGATCATAGAATCATAGAATGTTAGAGCTGGAAGGGACCTTGCAGGTCATCTTCTTCTCCATCCTGGTTGCCCTCTTTTGGACACGCTCAAATGAATGGATGAATCTGCCTCACCCCCTTTCAAAGCCATCCGTGCTTGTGGCCGTCAACCACCAGCCGTGAATCCCACAGTTCGACAACTTGTTAAATAAAGAGGGGTTTCCTTTTGTCTCTCCCGTACCTACGACCCATGACCTTCATCGGGTCCTTCTGCATTCGAGCATCATGGGAGAGCGAGAAAAAGCTCTCACCGCCCGCCATCTCCACCCCGTGCCTAGTTCAATCGGCCGCTATCGTGTCTCCCCTTCTGTGTGAAGCGCCGCCAAGTCTTTTCCAGCCTATGGTGACCCCGTGGGTCAATGGACTCCCAGACGTCCCGCCGTTAACAGCCTTGCTCAGGTCTCCTGTCACTTTAGGCCTTGGCCTGGTGGTGAGGGGGTGTCAGCAAGCTGCCAATGCTTTGCCAATGTTTTGTTTTCATTCTGTACATGTGTGCGCGCTTGCCTCTTGCACTGTAGATGCACATGTCTATGTAGCTCGCCGAAACAATTATTTCGCTCGAGGCCACAGGTGGATGCAGAGCTTGTTAGTGTGGAGAAGCTCTCACTAAACACCGTGGGAAGAAGATAACGTGAGAGGCTTGGGACTGTTAGTTCTCAGGCTAAAGGGCACGCGGGGGAACCCCTGCAATTGGCCCGTAGTAGTTTGAATGTTTATTATATGCTTTGCCATTGCTTTTACCCCTCATTCTGAACAGTGATCCTGTTATGCACCTTCGCTCTAATAAATTTACCTTTTCTTCAAAAGCGTGCTTATTAAGATGCAAGGAGGCGTCTGACAGGGGGGCTTTCAAGTCGCAGCGGACGCAGGGCAACCCCAGAAGGTATTCAAGACATTCCAAGATCGGCAGGCGTGGTTTGCCGTTGCCTGCCTCTGCGCAGTGGCCCCGGGCTTCCTTGAGGGTCTCCCACCCCAAGACTAACGCTGCTTAGCTTCCAAGATAAAATCGGGCTAGGCTGGGCCGCAGCAAGAGACAAACGGAGGTGGTTTCCCATTGCCTGCCCCTGCATAGGAACCCTGGGCTTCCTGAGTCAGTTTGGTGCCGTGGTTCAGTGCCCGGACTCTAATCTGGGAGAGCCGGGTTCAATTCCCCACTCCTCCTCCACTCGCAGCTGCTGGATGACCTTGGGCAAGCTGTAGTTCTGATAAGAGCTGTCCTTGAAAAAAGAGCCGTTTCTCTCAGAGCTCTCTCAGCCCCACCGACCTCCCAGGGTGTCTATTGTGGGGAGGGGAAGGGAAAGGGGTTTGTCAGCCGCTCTGAGACGCCTTCGGGTAGTGAAGGATGGGATATAAAACCAATCTCTTCTTCTTTTTCCTTCTTTCCTTCCTTCTCTTTCTGTCTGTCTGTCTTTCACCAGTTTGGTGTAGTGGTTAAGTGCGCGGACTCTAATCTAGGAGCACCGGGTTTGATTCCCCACTCCTCCACTCGCACCTTCTGCGTGACCTTAGGCAAGCCATAGTTCTGCAACAGCTGTTCTTGAAAAAGAGCAGTTTCTCTCAGAGCTCTCTCAGCCCCACCTGCCTCACAGGGTGTCTGCAGATCCTCCTCCTCCTCCTCCTCCTCTTCTTCTTCTTCAAACTTAGGCAGATCATGAGAGGGAGGGCAGGAAGGGTTGCCGCCGTGCTTAGTTCTTGTGGCCCTTTCTTACACGCCCAGGGAAATGCTGACCGCCACGTTGGGGTCAGGAAGCCATTTTTCTCTAGGCCAGTTTGGCCGGGGATCCCGGAGGGGTTTTGCCATATTCTGGGTGTGGAGCAGGGGTCACTCGGAGTGTGGAATGGGGTGTAGAGGTATTTGTGAATGTCCTGCCTTGTGCAGGGGGTTGGACTAGATGACCCTGGAGGTCCCTTCCAGCTCTAGGATTCTTTTCTTGCAGATGGAGCTGAATCACTTTAACAACTTGGTGTTTTTCGAATGGCTGGAAAGGAAGCGTCTGCCTCCCCCCTCTGCCCGGATCCTGAGCTTCCTGGAGAAGCGGGCCCAGTCGGTCACCCTCCGCAAGCCGCACGGGAGACAGGACAGCGTTGCCCCCCCTCCGAGCAGCCCGGGGGGGATAGGCTTCTTTGACGCCTTCGAAAAGGACTGGCGGCGCCGTGCCTGGAACACGAGCGCCAACCCCGCCTCCCTGCCGGCGACCCGCCTCTCCCGCCCCGACACGGTCCGCCTGGGGGTCAGCCCGGAGCCTTCCGTGGACCACGACTTCAGCGCCTTCCTCTTCCTCGTCGAAGACGGGTACGGAGAGGCCGAGATCCGGATCGGCAAGTGCGGCGAGGCCTTCCCCATGCCCGCCCTGCCCTGGGAAACCATCCAGAGGAGCCTGTACCCCCACGCCTGGCCCTCCCGCCTGAGGGTCCCGCAGGACCTCAGGCCCCACCACATCTGGGACGTGAAGAGGAAGCGGCCCCCCGGGCCGGAGCACCGCTGGACGGACCAGATGGCCCTGAGCCTGCGGCAGACGCTCGACCCCGCCTTCCTGGCCGCCCTGAAGGCCCACCTGGCCACCTACAGTGACGCGGAGGTGCTTCCCGGGGGGCTGGATTCGGACTGGGGAGACCGCAAAGAGCGCGCCAGTCCGAGCCTCGGCAGCGGCAGCGGCCGCAGCCACTGATCTCGCTCCCTGCTGGCTCTTCCAACATCCAGCCAGGCTGAAAAGCAGCTTTCTTTTGGAAGGAGCCTTCCCCAGTCGAGCAACAAGAGCACGGCAGAGAGACAGACATTCCCGCCCCCCCCCCCCCCCAGTCTATTAATCAGCCAGTCGACCAAAGAAAAAGCCCGAGCAGAGACACGAGGGCCGAGAGAAGATTCATACCAGCAGTGGCATTAAACCAGCTTAGCCAACAGCCAATGGGGTAGCCTCACTTATTGCTCTATCGAGAGCCAGTTTGGTGTTGTGGTTGAGTGCGCGGACTCTATTCTGGGAGAACCGGGTTTGATTCCCCCACTCCTCCACTCGCAGCTGCTGGATGACCTTGGGCGAGCCGTGGTTCTGTCAGAGCTGTCCTTGAAAAAAGAGCAGTCCTCGACAGAGCTCTCTCAGCCCCACCTACCTCACAGGCAATGCTCCCTCTAAGCTGCAGAGTCTTGTGAGCAAAAATTCTACTTTGCGAGCTCCTGGCATTAAAGTTGTGAGTGAGCGATTTAGCTATTGCATGAATTAGTTTGCTCCGGAGCCATCCTTTCTGAACTAAGACAAAAATGTGTGAACCAAAGGCTAAAAAACTGTGAGCTAGCTCACACTAGGCTTGCCAAGTCCCCCTGGGGGGCGGGGAAACCCCTGCCTGAAAGGCCAGTTATCCGCCGCCGGCGGATCGGGCCCTGGGGGGAACCCCACCCCCAAAGCACTCGACGTGCCCAGCGTCAGTACATCACCCGGAAGTGACGGTCATGTCGGGCGCATTGGGGGCGGGGTCATCAGAGGGAAAACTCTATGGTTTTCCCTCGGATGATTGTGGCTCCGCCCCCGGTGTGCCCGACGTGGTTGCATCACTTCCGGGTGACGTGGTTGAGTCAGGCGCTGGGCCATTGAGCCTGAGGCGATCTGCTCTAGCAGCAGACTGGGAGGGGCTGTGGCTCAGTGGCAGAGCATCTGCTCTGCTCACAGAACGTCCCCAGTTCAGTCCCCAACTTCTCCAGTTAGAGGATCCGGCAGGAGGTGATGTGAAAGACCTTTCTCTGCGTGAGACCCTGGAGAGCCACTGCCAGTCTGAGTAGGCAATACGGACCTCGATGGACCAAAGGCCCGGATCAGAATCCGGCAGCTTCATGTGGTCGTTTCCAGATGGCTGCAGGCCCTGAAGCCACATTTTGGCCCAGACTCTGCTGGCTTCTCTCCCCAACCCCCAACCCCCATTACTACCCAGGGTCTCATCTTGCACTACTCTGGAGCGCAGTTCCCAGACCTGTCGACCTTTTCAATAAGAGAATGCTGCTTGCACAGGGGCTATGGCGCTGACTGGCATGCAGAAGGTCCCAGGTTCAATCCCCGGCATTTCCAGTTAAAAAGGATCAGGCGGAAGGTGATGGGAAAGACTTTTCTGTGCCTGAAACCCTGGAGAACTGTAAAGAGGGACTGTGGCTCAGAGGCAGAGCATCTGCTTAGCATGCAGGAAGTCCCAGGTTCAATCCCCGGCATTTCCAGTTAAAAAGGATCAGGCGGAAGGTGATGGGAAAGACTTTTCTGTGCCTGAAACCCTGGAGAACTGTAAAGAGGGACTGTGGCTCAGAGGCAGAGCATCTGCTTAGCATGCAGGAAGTCCCAGGTTCAATCCCCGGCATTTCCAGTTAAAAAGGATCAGGCGGAAGGTGATGGGAAAGACTTTTCTGTGCCTGAAACCCTGGAGAACTGTAAAGAGGGACTGTGGCTCAGAGGCAGAGCATCTGCTTAGCATGCAGGAAGTCCCAGGTTCAATCCCCGGCATCTCCAGTTAAAAAGGGCCAGGAGGTAGGTGATGGGAAAGAGCTCTGTGCCAGATACCATGGAGAGCCAATGCCAGTCTGAGTAGATGATACTTTGATGGACCAACAGTTTGATTTAGTGTTAGGCAGCTTCATGTATTCACAGAATTTAAGAGATTGTGAGAGAGTCATTGAAAGCCTTTGCAACCTGGTAGGATACCAAGGAGAGGGAAGACAGTTTGTCATAAGAACAGAAGGGAAGCCAATGTTGGATCAGGCCAATAGCCCATCCAGTCCAACACTCTGTGTCACAGTGGTCAAGAATACCAGGTGCCATCAGGAGGTCCAGCAGCGGGGCCAGGACATTAGAAGCCCTCCCACTGTTGACCCCCCCCCCCAAGCACCAAGAAGACAGAGCATCACTTGCCCCAGACTGAGAGTTCCTACCTACAGCTTGTGGCTAAGAGCCACTGGTGGACCTCTGCTCCAGAGGTTGATCCAATTCCCTCTTATAGGAACATAAGAGAGAAGCCCGTGTTGGATCAGGCCAATAGCCCATCCAGTCCAACACTCTGTGTCACAGTGGTCAAGAATACCAGGTGCCATCAGGAGGTCCAGCAGCGGGGCCAGGACATTAGAAGCCCTCCCACTGTTGACCCCCCCCCCCAAGCACCAAGAATGCAGAGCATCCCTTGCCCCAGACTGAGAGTTCCTATCTATACCTTGTGGCTAAGAGCCACTGATGGACCTCTGCTCCATCTGTTTATCCAAATACATAAGCACATAAGAGAAGCCAATGTTGGATCAGGCCAATGGCCCATCTAGTCCAACACTCTGTATCACACAGTGGCCAGAAATACCAGGTGCCATCAGGAGGTCCAGCAGTGGGGCCAGGACACTAGAAGCCCTCCCACTGTTGATCCCCCCAAGCACCAAGATGACAGAGCATCCCTTGCCCCAGGCCGAGAGTTCCTATCTATACCTTGGAGCCACCGATGGACCTCTGCCTCATATGTTTATCCAATTCCCTCATAGTCCTTTCTTTGAAAACAGCTTTCCTCTCACACCTTTATTAACACAAAGACCTTGTGCTCAAACAGAAGTCAAAGGTTCCGTTCGGTTAAGAGGGAACGGACCGCGAGCACAACCAGAATCCAGCTCACAGTGCCCCGCCCAGCCTCTCAGCTTCTCCTGCGCCTCCTCTCCCCGCCCCCCCCCCCCCCCCCCGTGGAATCTTCAGACCTCACCCTGGAACACAGCGGGGGGGTGGGCTGGGGGAACTGACGCCCCAGAGAGTAGAATCGACACTGGAACCCAGGCAGACAAGGCGATGCCAGAGAAGGCGGATTTGACACTGGAACCAAAAAGGCAGCAATCTCCACATCTTGACAAAGAGCCATTTCACCTCCCACCCCCGCCCCAACCTCTTCAGGCACGCGGGCTGCTTATTTTCCACTCCGTGATGCGGCTTCCAAGGGAGCGAGAACTTGCCAGGTGTGGGATATCCCAACTGCCCTCATCTTTGAACAGGTATTTTCAAAAACTTTTATTTAACTCAAATGCCGGACAGTGGAAATCAAAGAAGTCCCCGTGCAAATGACCTTTGGGCCGCGCCCAAAAGTCACTCCAAAGGGCCCTGCAGACTCTCTGCAACTACGGCGAAGAGGAGATTCACAGTTCCTTGTCCAAAGGGCCAGGATTCCTTTATGCAAACGCTGATCACAGGTCTGTCTCCAAAAATGTCACGTAAAAGAAACACAGGAGCCATGATCCCTGCCCATCTCTCCGTCACGACTTCAGAGATGTATTTATAAGAAGAATTGTGGTTTGGAAGTCGGTGGGCAATGGCTTACAGAGCAGCGCTTGGGAACGTTTTCTGTGCACTGATCCGAAGCCTGGAGAAACCCACCGGTAAAACCTTAGAACGACTTCATAAAAAGGGGGAAAGGTCTGTCCCTGGCTGGTGCACCTTGCTCAGGAAGCATTTTGGCTTTCGATACAAAAAACGACAGCTCAAAGGGCCCCATCCAGACTGCAGAGGCAAGATCCAAAGTCTCCTAGGGCTCTCCCGTGCCGTGACCACGGCCACCTCCCTAAGCCGACTGTGCAAAACCGGGCGTTCCCAGCAACAACCCTCCCCGAGTTTCGGGCTGCTGATATCGACAGGTGCCTGTCCCACGTGTCATGATAGGTTCATTCCAAATATGGCAAAGTGAGGCGGCGGCCGTGGCACGCGAGGACCCCAAGTTCCATCTGGATAAACGTATCCAGGTACGAGCAGGAGGTGTTCAGGGGAAGCGGCGGCATCAATAGATCTTCTGGCGGCTCGGCAGGATGGCTTCCTTGATGAACGAAAAGATGACGAGGATGCCCGAGCGTTTTCCCCTCTTGCCTTTTGTGAAGTAGTTGGACACCACGTCATCTGAGGAGATGAGGAGACAAAGACATAGTGAAACCTGGAACCTGGTCAGGGAACCTGCCCTGAGTCTGACGGCTGTGGCCCCTAATCTCTGCCAGGTCCTGAGCGCCAAGCGACTTGGCCTGGCCGGGCCAGCTACTTCGCTGTTGCCCACACATAGAGATGTAAAATTTCCAGAAATTTTGAAGCTCGGAAAACCCCCCAGGTTTTTTCCGTTTTTTTTTCGGGGGGAAATGGAAATTTTCGGGGAAATTGAAAGAAATGCTACATTAGCATTTATTTTGTCTTTTCTAAATTGAAAGTCATTCTGTTACTTTAGGAACATAAAATATGACTATGGACATTTTTACTTGGCATGAAATTATCACAACTAGCCTATTAAAAATATAGTGTATCCAAACAATTATTACAAACAGAATACCCACCCTACATGCAAAAACAAAACTGAAACTTTTTTATTTTCTTCTGACAATCGCACCTCCTAAAGGAAGAAATGCATCTTGCTCTTGCATTGGAGAGTTCAGTTTGTAACCTAGGACTTGCTTGTCCTCAGTGCACAGAAATTAGATCAACCTGATATCATACATATTTTTTAGAAACAATTTGGAAAATATTTGAACACCTTGTCTTAAAATAGTTAATTCATCCTGTTAAAATAAAACGTTCTATAATCAATTCTTTTCTTTTCTTTTCTTCAATTTTTCGGGAAAAAAACCCAAAAAGGCTTCAGGGAAAAAACGGGTTTTTTTCTGATTTTTTCCGTTTTTTTTCTGGGCCTTCACATCTCTACCCACACACCCTACAGGCATGGCATTTCGAGAAAGGGTATTCTGTAGGCAGGAACGGAAGAGCACCGCATTGTCTCCAAATACCAATATGCTGGCTAGGCTAAACATAAATGCTTGGCGACAGATCCTGGTGGGCTGCCGTGTTCCCTCTAAGCTGAGTTAGTGTGAGCTAGCTCGCAGTTTTTAAGCCTCCAGCTCACCCATTTTTGTCTTAGCTCAGGAAGGATGGCTCCAGACCAAACAGATTTATGCAGCAGCCAAATCGCTCGCTCACAACTTTAGTGCCAGTAGCTCACCAAGTAGAATTTTTGCTCACAAGACTCCACAGCTTAGAGGGAGCACTGGTGGGTAGCCGTGTGGGTCTGAAGCAACAGAGCAAAGTTTGACTCCAGGGGCACCTTTAAGACCAGCAAAGTTTAATTCTGGGTATCAGCTTTCGTGCCCATGCACGCTTCAGATGCACAAGAGAGCTAAGACCCAGAATTAAACTTTGCTGGTCTTAAAGGTGCCCCTGGACTCAAAACTTTGCTCTATAATCTCAACATCTCTTGCATCCAGACATCTAGAGAGGTCAAGATCAAGAGCAAGCAGATAGCACAGATACACACTGAGAGGCACCCGACTAAAGAGAAAGACTAGCAGAGTCCCCTCTTACTTTCCCTGGGGGGCCACATGCCCAGTCTACACGGACGCTCTCCTCTCCCCTCCTCCCGGGTCTTGCAGGAAAGTTCCCTGAAATTTCTGATACGACAGCAGAGTTATGACGTAAAATTGCTACAATCAACAAGGTGGGACATTCAATAAAAATGGCAACAGGGTTTGGGTTGTCGAGCCGGCCAGAAGTCTTCAAAGCAGAACTGAAGCAAAGCGGAAGTATTAATATGACACAAGAAGAAGAGGAAGAAGAGGAGGAGGAAGAGATTGGATTTCTGCCCTGCCCTTCACTTGGGAGTCTCAGAGCGGCTTACAACCTCCTTTCCCTTCCCCTCCCCACAACAGACACCCTGGGAGGTAGGCGGGGCTGAGACAGCTCTGACAGGAAATGCTCTTTTTGAAGAACAGCTCTGAGAGAACTTGTGACTGACCCAAGGTCATCCAGCAGGTACAAGTGGAGGAGTGGGGAATCAAACCCGGCGCTCCCAGATTAGAGTCCGCGCACTGAACCACTACACCAGACTGGCTCACAAAATGGAGGGATTGAAAGGAGGAACTCACAAGACTCCACAGCTTAGAGGGAGCGTTGTATTCCTCCCTCTGCTTATTCCGTACCACACTCACAATCCCTTCTCCTCCCAAATTGACCTCTCCCTACATAAGAGCTGCCCAATCTCCCAGCCCCCCCCCCCATCCAGCATTCTGCTTCTGACAGCGTCCCGCAAGATGAGTAGGGAGGCAGTGATCCTTCCTAGTTTGTTCCACCCATCTGGTTGCTCACAGGTGTACTCCCTCTGAGCCTGGAGGTTCCACTGAACCGAATGGTTGTTTATAGAAGAAGAGGAGATTGGATTTATGCCCCACCCTTCACTACCCAGAGGAGTCTCAGAGCGGCTTACAAACTCCTTTCCCTTCCCCTCCCCACAACAGGCACCCTGGGAGGTAGGTGGGGCTGAGAGAGCTCTGACACAAGCTGCTCTTTTCCAAGTACAGCTCTGAGAGAACTGACTTGCCTAAGGTAATCCAGCAGGTGCAAGTGGAGGAGTGGGGAATCAAACCTGGTTCTCCCAGACTAGAGTCTGTGCACTTAACCACTGCACCAAACACTAAACGATGCCCAATTGCACAGGGAGGCTCCAACCCACGGCAAACTATACAGAGCCGTACAGTCCAGAGCCCCCAATAATTTATCCAAGTGACTCTGTGAAGCCTTTTGTACAGGGCGACCCCCTATTGCCTGCGTAGAATAGCCCTCTGGAATCATTCTGTTTTGCATAGTTTCGGGAAAGCCAGAAGAGCAGGAGCTTTCCCGGTCTCCTCCGGCAGGCCGTTCCACGAGGCGGGGGCCACCACAGACAAGACACAGCTACGGGCAGTGGTCGACTTAGCCCATTGGCGGGTTGGCCCCTGCAGACGGCCCTGCTGGGATGAGCGAAGCCGTCATGGCGGAGCACAAGGGGAGAGGGAGACGGTCTCGCATCACTGAGGGTCCCGGGCGTCTGACGGCCGCGTCCGGGGGCAGCGGATGCTTTTGCTAGAGCCGGGCCTGGACGGCAAACTCACCTCCCGTCTGCACAGTGGACGGCAGCACGTTCTCCCCGGCAGATAAGGAGACGAAAAAGGCGAAGGGAATGAGCCACAGGCAGAAGGTGAAGTAGGCGAGGACCTGGGGAGGGAAGGCGGAGAGGGCGTCAAGCCAGGCTGTGGCTGGGTTGGCACACCCTCCCCCGGCTTTTTTTGTAGAAAAAGCCCAGCAGGAACTCATTAGCATATTAGGCCACACCCTTCACAGCATAGGTCACACCCGTTACCAGAAGTGTGGTCATCCAGCCACACCCACCTAGGTCAAATGTGACTTGATTCTCTCTCTTTCTCTCTAGCCGTGACACACACAGGCACCTACCAACTTTTGTTGGATGGAGATTTGAATAGAAACACTTGGAAGATATTTTGCTAGAGAAAACAAGGGTGATCCATGTACAGAAAAGTGATTGAGCATGAAGAAGGAGGAGGAGGAAGAGGAGGAGAAGGAGGAGGAGGAGGAGGAGATTGGATTAATACCCTGTCCCCCCAAACCTGAAGTGTACCACCACAGACCAGAAAGAAGAGATAAAAGATTAGATTTATCCCCCGCCCTTCACTTTCCTTTTCATTCCCTTGCCCTCAACAGACACCCTGTGAGGTAGGTGGGGCTGAGAAAGCTCTTTAAAAACTGTTCATGCGAGAACAGCTCTGAAATAGCTCGTAACTGACCCAAGATCACACCAGCAGCTGCCTGTGGAGGAGTGGGGAATCAAACCCAGTTTTCCCAGATTAGAGTCCGCGCTCCTAACCACAATACCAAACTGGTACACTCAGAAAGGAAGGAGGCCATGATTTAGGGCTTCTCTGCGGGGCTGGGAGCACCATCAGCTTGTGCCAAAAGCAAACGGGGAAGCCCCAAGGTGTCCCCCCCCCCCGAGACTCCCGGTCACACCTTTTGCCAGTTTTGGTGCAGGCAAGTGACCAAAGGGCCCATCTCCTCTGCCCTCCTCCTCCTCCACAGTCCAACACAAGCTCTGTGGCACACCCAACGGCCCCTCTTACCTCTGAGAACGGGTAATACTCTTCTGCAAAATACTGGAACGCCAAGTAGTGATTCAACACGACCAGGACTGCCGAAAAGGAAAAACAGCGGATTGCCAAACAGAAAGTGGTCGTTTCCACGGCCTCTCCCAGTCGCCTGTCGCTTATACCCCAACTGAGAACCCAGGGACAAAATCTACTGCACAAGTCAGGTTTCAGAGAATCCGTGGTTGCTTTAAAAAAACAAAATGAAAAGGCTGCTGCTCGCCCTCATGGTTGTGGCGAAGCGTGTTCCAACTTCCCAGCCGCTTAATTCGCTCATGTCCTGCTCTTCGGCCCCCTTCCCACGCCGTTTTGTGACACTTTGGCTGCGGCCACACACACGAAACCATCCACATTCAATTCACTTTCAGTGCACTTTCCAACTAGATTTTTACTGTGTGAACTGGCAAAATCCAGCTGGAAAGGCCACTGAAAGTGGATTATTGAGTGTGTGTGAACCGCAGCCTTTCTCTTGGCATAAAATCCCTGGCCAGTCCCAGGATACTTAAAGTGAATCAGCCACACTGAACACCTTTGCAAAAGAAACTAATAGGCAGCAGTCGGAGCAAAGCATTTGTTATTCGTAGGGCGCCCTCAACACCTTTGGGTGCTTCCTGGTGTAGCAATAAAAAAAGGAAAGGTTCATGTGCTGTGGACTGGGGGGGGGGAGAAGAAAAGGAGTGTCCCACGACACAGTGGCCGGAACCGAACAACCTACCATCACTTCTTCTGGATTTTAACAGCCGGCAAGCAGTGTTCCCTCTAAGCTGAGTCAGTGTGAGCTAGCTCACAGTTTTTTAGCCTCTGGCTCACCCATTTTTGCCTCAGCTCAGGAAGGAGGGCTCTGGAGCAGACTAATTTATGCAGCAGCCAAATCGCTCCCTCACAACTTTAATGCCAATCGCTCACATGGCAGAACTTTTGCTCACAAGACTCCACAGCTTAGAGGGAGCGTTGCCTGCAAGGCTCAGTTGCAGGGACTGCTTTTTGGTGCACAAAAGAGAAGAGATTGGATTTATACCCCACCCTTCACTGGGAGTCTCAGGACGGCTCACAATCAATGCTCCCTCTAAGCTGTGGAGTCTTGTGAGCAAAAATTCTACCTTGTGAGCTACTGGCATTAAAGTTGCGAGCAAGCAATTTGGCTACTGCATGAATCAGTTTGCTCTGGAGCCATCCCTTCCTGAGCTAAGACAAAAATGTGTGAGCCAGAGGCTAAAAAACTGTGACCTGGCTCACACTAACTCAGCTTAGAGGGAACACTGCTCACAATCCCCTTTCCCTTCCCCGACACCCTATAAGGTAGGCGGGGCCGAGAGAGCTCTTTGGAGGACTGCTCTTGAGAGAACAGCTCGGAGAGAACTTGTGACTGACCCCAGGTCACCCAGCTGGCTGCATGTGAAGGGGTGGGGAATCAAACCCGGTTCTCCAGATTAGAGTCTGCCACTTTAACCACCACACCAAACTGGCTCTCAGTACCAGTACATGGTTCTCTCCCCCATTTTACCCTCACGAGGTAGGCAAGTCAGACTGTCATGATCTGGGCTGTGCGATCAAAGGCCTAGCAGGCCCAGGGAGCCTGAGTAGCAGTGGGAGGAGGCCTGGCCTGCAACTCCCAGAAGCCCCTGAGAGGTTTTGGCACCAATTTAAGCCAATCACAGAGAAAGGGGACTTGTAACGAAAGAGCTGGTACAGAAGAACAGCTGTTCTTTTCTTCCAAGAGGGCAGAGCCAGAAGGGAGGCTGCTGCAGGGAAGAGACCCTCAACCTGAGAGGACGGGAGAGCAGACTCAGGCCCACTGGAGACAGTGAGCTGGGGACTGTGAGTCTAGTCGCATTAGGGCATTTGGCTTCTTTTCTTTTCACCCCCTTACTGATACTGTTCTTGCACCTTGTTTCTTTCCCATGTCGGGCTGACCTCCCGTAAAAATAAACCTTTCATTTGTTGTTCCCTCTGCCTGGTCCTCACGCCTATTATTCGGCCAAACAAGGGAGGTCTGCAGGTCTTGGGAGGGGGCTCTGGGCCTTCTCAAGGGCTCCTGGAAGCAGCGTGGTGGCAGCGTCAGGGGACACCCCACCTGAGCCTTGACACAGACAATTAACGGCAAGCGAGGGTCACCCGATCAGTCTTATGGCAAGTGAGGATCCGGACCCAAGGCAAGGACTCCCCACTCCTGGCACCTGTATCTCCACTATAAGGATGCTTGTCGCAGCAAAGTGCTCCACAGCCATTGGAAATATATTCCTACCATAAAGGCAATCTTGGGACTTTGGGAGGGATTCAAAAGTCTGCCACGGCCACAGCTTCACGGACCTTCAACCCCACCCTCCTCATCCGGCTCCCGGCCCCACCGAGCCACTCACCGCAGGACAGGATGAAGTTTGGGGAGGTGAGCATGATGAAAGGGAAGGTCTGGAGCAATCCGAAATAGACCAGGTTGGTGAAGAGGCCCACGCCGATCGTCAGGCCTGGGAAGTTCTCAAAGAGGTACAGCCCGACCAGCACCGCCGTGGAGAACTAGAAGAGAACAGAAGCCCTCCGACAGTTAGACTGGCCTGCATCGATGATGCAACAACAGGTGGCAGAGGGCAGCAAGGGGGTGAGCACGTGCCACCGCAGCATCTCTATTGAGATATATGTCAGAGTGACAGAGGTAGCAAGCAGTTACTATAGATCAGTTTGATCTGTTTGTCAGACCTAGCTGTCATGCTGGTATTCATGTAATTACAGCCAGGTGTTTTCTAGCAGGTGTTGCTCTTTCAGGGCTTGTTAGAGCTGGTGATTACATCACCTTGTTAGAGATTGGCTGGGGTTTAGCATAATAGCTATCAGCTTAGTAAACTGGATGGGGACTCAGTTCTCACAGACTAAGGAACGACATGCTGTTTAATAGCCTGTAAATATCTCTGTATATATTCACCTTTATAACTATATAAACTCTCTGTGCACCTTCATAACTGGTCAGTCTCCTGCTTCTTATTTACAACAGGTGGCAGAGGGCAGGAAGGGGGTGATCATGTGCCACCAAGGCATCTCTAGGAACAACAGCACATCCGCAGTGCAAACTGGGAAGCAAGCAGCTGCCTCACCTTAGTTTTTTAAGGGAAAATTAGAAGCAATAAAAAGCATGTTTCACTTGCTCAGAAACTGCTAGAGGCAGCCAAAGGGCAGCTCACACGAACTCCTCTCCAGGAGAAGAGAAGCCGTGCCCTAGAGGCTGTTTGCCACTCACTGGCTAGCAGAAGGGCAAAGTCTGCCCTACTCCTCACCCTCCGTAACCACGCAGCCGCCTCGCCCACCACCTTGTCTTTGCAAAACACCCGCTACCGGGCTCGGCCGCTGCACCAGTTTCCAAGGCTGGCTGCTATAAGTAGCGGCAGTAAACAGCTCTCAGCCAAACGGCCTAAACCGTTTGACGGGCACCCTCTCCTCCGAGCAAAGCCTCACATACCCAGCCACCCGACAACACCCCCCCTACCAAGCTGTGTAAGTCAGCCTTAGTGGCACGAGCAAGTGGGCGCAAAGGCAGCCAGAGACTTACCCATATCATGTATTTAATGATCCTGCTCGTAGCTACCGTGAACTCTTCGATCAACTCGGCCAAGTAGTACAATCCAGCCGCTGCAAAGGAGAAGAGAGGGGCTGCTGGAGGTCAAGCGTGGCCAAGAAAGGCAGGCAGCCAAAGCCAACCGTCCCCTGCCAGTCTCGCCAAGGAGCCTGTGGCGTCGGAACTCCAGAGAGGCCACGTTGACTGTAATCAATGCCAGACCCGCTGGCTTCTGTGGCTCCCCAGTGGGTGGGGCTCGGGATCTCCCTTGCCCGGCACGTGTTGCTGCAGGATGATACCGTGGTTTATTTTATTTAATCTCAGAGTTGGAAGGGACCACCAGGGTCATCTAGTCCAACCCCCGGCCAGCAAAGGAAATTCAACTATCGCATCCCTAACAAGGAGGTATGTAATCAATCCTTAAAAGCCCCCAGCAAGGAAGAATCCACCACCGCATGGGGAAGACTGTTCCAGTGTCGCAGGCACCATACTGCCCAGATGTTCTTCCTCAGATTTAGGCAAAATCACCTTTGCTGCAGTTTAGGTCCATCGGACCAGGTCCTGCCACCCCACACAACTGAAAACGTATCTGCCCCATCCCCCACATGGCATCTCTTTCTCTTAGGAGCCCAGAACACTGTGTCCCAGAGCTTTTCTGCACAATCAGTTTGGCTGCATGAATACACATGGAATTCACTGCCACAGGAGGTGGTGGCGGCTACAAGCATGGACGGCTTCAAAAGGGAATTAGATAGGCATATGGAGCAGAGGTCCATCAGTGGCTATTAGCCACAAGGTATAGATAGGGGCTCTGGGGCAAGGGATGCTCTGTCTTCTTGGTGCTTGGGGGGGGGCCAACAGTGGGAGGGGGCTCCTAGTGTCCTGGCCCCACTTGTGGACCTCCTGATGGCCCCTGGTATTTCTGGCCACTGTGTGACACAGAGTGTGGGACTGGATGGGCCATTGGCCTGATCCAACATTGGCATCTCTTATGTTCTTAATATTTATTTTACTTCTTCTGTACCACAGCTTTCTCCCGAACGGGGGACCCAACGTGGGCTTACACTGCTCTCCTCTATTTTATCCTCACAACAACCCTGTGAGATAGGTGGGCGAGAGTATGTGACTGGCCCAAGGTCACCCCACCAAGCTTCCATGGCAGTGCGGGGATTCGAACCTGGGCCTCCCGGATCCTAGACTGTCATTTCAACCACGCCACCATAATGGATCTCTTACAAGAGTCATTATTATTATTATTAGCAATGGAGGCAACAGCCTTCCATCTCCCCACTTCCCGCTAGAGTCTTGCACTGAACGGTAGACTGCCTCTGCCCGCGGAGGCTCCACTCGTCCGTCAGGGCGATCCCTCCAAACCCCCTTCAGAACCTTTATAGGAGTCCCTCCCCCACCCAAGCAAGAAGGCGTCAATGATTGGAGGACGGGGGGAAAGGACGGCTCCTCTCAGCCAATGGGAAGATCGGGGCGACACCAACCAGCCAACCGCCGTCTACGGTGGGCGGGCCGGACGAGACCATCACAGCTCCCGGGGAGGGGCGGGAGCGGAGGCGGGCGGCCCAGCGGGGGGCGGGCGAGACCATTCCCGCAGAGCGGGGGGAGTGGAGCCCGCGGCCCGCGGGGAGCCTCACCGATGCCGAGGGTGACGAAGGCGGCCTGGATGAGCAGCGCCAGCCAGCTCAGCGCGTACATGAACCACATCGTCGGTTCCGTCGTCGTCGTCGCCGACTCGCTGCCACCGGCGCATCGGCAAGCGCGGCCCCGCCCATCGCTTCCGGCGGGGAGAGGAAGCGCGCGGCCCCGGAGTGCGCAGGCGCGGGGGAGGAGCGGCTGCCCGTGAGCGCCCCAGCGGCCCCTGGCGTCGGGGAGGGGGAACAGCACGAAGGGAAGTCGAGGAAGGAGCCAGTCAATCAAGAGTGATATAGGTTAATAAATGCAGCATTAGAGGGACCCAGAGAAGCTAGGGAGGAGAGCGTAGGGTTGCCAACTCCAGGACGGGAAATTCCTGGAGATTTGTGGGCGGAGTCTGGGGAGGGAGGGGGTTGGAGAGAGAGGGGACCAACGCTCCCTCTAAGCCGTGGAGTCCTGTGAGCAAAAATTCTACCTTGTGAGCTCCTGGCATGAAAGTTGCGAGCCAGCCATTTGGCAGCGGCCTCAATGAGTTCACACTGGAGCCGTCCCTTCCTGAGCCGAGACGAAATTGTGTGAGCCAGGGGCTAAAAACCTGTTAGCTAGCTCACACTAACTCATCTTAGAGGGGACACTGGACTCAGTATGGGTATGATACCGTTGTGTCCACCCTGCAAAGCCAGCCATTTCCTTCAGGGGAACTGGTATCTGTGGTGTGGAGTTCAGTTGCAATTCTGGGAGGTCTCCGAGTCCTACCTGGAGGTTGGCAACTCTAGAGCTGGAAGATCCAGGTTCAGATCCACTTCCCCCACACACACACGCACGCACACACACAGAGGTAAGCTCACTAGGAGACTTTAGAGCAGCCGTGCTCTCTCTCTCTCTCTCTCAGCTAGGGATGCCAGCCTCCAGGCGGGACCTGGGGATCCCCTAGAATTACAGGTCGTTTCCCCTGGAGAAAATGGATGCTTTGGAGGGTGGACTCTGTGGCCTGGTACCCCACTGAGGTCCTGGTCCTCCCCGGGCTCCATCCCCAAATCTCCCCCCAATTTCCCAACCTGGACCTGGCAACCCCACACCCTATCCCAGGGGACCTGGAAGTGCTACCAAGCACATCTAATGCAGGTGGGTGTAATGTGTGGCAATGGCTAGGAAAAGGTTTTCTAAGGCAGGCAGGCAGGCAGGGGTCACTTCCTGCCGGAGCACGCTGGAGCGGCGCTCTGGCAGTAAGGAGCCCAGGCGGAGGAGCCAGGAAAGGCCTGCAGAGGCAGAGGCCACCGCCGCCTGGGGGGATTTAAATGCCTTTCTTTTCCTTCTCCAGATGAGGAAGGGAGAGAAAGGCATTCTAAACATGCCTGGAATGCCTGCCCTTGGTCAGGGGGTGTGGCATATGCAGATGAGTTATGCAAATGACCTCCTCCACCTCTTTTTCTACAAAATGACCCCTGCCTGCAGGTAAAGAACAGCACCTTCTTCTCCAGGCTATTGCCGGCCCTTTCGAGGAGAAGAGGAGCCAGTCTGGTGTCGTGGTTAAGTGCGTGGACTCTAATCTGGGAGAACCGGGTGTGATTCCCCACTCCTCCACTTGCACCTGGCTGGATGACCTTGGGCAAGCCATAGTTCTGGCACAGCTGTTCTTGAAAAAGAGCAGTTTCTGTCAGACTTCTCTCAGCCCCACCTACCTCACAGGGTGTCTGTTGTGAGGAGGGGAAGGGAAAGGAGTTTGTAAGCCAACAGAACAAGAAGCTGTGTTTTAGGCTGGCTGGGATTGCAGAAAATAAAGAGGACCTCAAAAGCCTCTTGCTGAGGGTGAAAGAGGAGAGCGCAAAAGTCGGCTTGAAACTCCACATCAAAAAAAAACTAAGATCACGGCATCCGGCCCCATCACTCCTTGGCAAATAGAAGGAGAAGTCGTGAGAGCAGTGACAGACTTCACGTTCCTGGGATCCAAGATCCCTGCAGACGGTGACTGCAGCCATGAAATTAAAAGACGCCTGCTCCTGGGGAGGAAAGCGATGGCAAACCTAGACAGCATAATAAAAAGTAGAGACATCACCCTGCCGACAAAACTCTGTATGGTCGAAGCGATGGTATTCCCAGTAATACTGTAAGACTGCAAGAGTTGGATTATAAGGAAGGCCGAGTGCCGAAGAATAGATGCTTTTGAATTTATCGAAGAGCTTTTATGTTAGGCTGTTTTAATGTGCTGCCTTTGGCTGTATTGGGTGGTAGGTTCTCTAAGACTCCTTATGTGGGTAGATTATGTCCTTGTGGTGTTAATGAAATTGAGAGTCTGGGCCATATCATTCTACACTGTATCTTCTATCATGATGTTCAATCATCATATCTTGAGCCTGTGCTGAGAAATCTAGTAAATCATTCTGATGAATGGAAGATATTTTATTTACTCTCTACTCGATCCTCAGTGATTATGGAAATGGTGGCCAAATTTCTGCTTTTGGGCTTCTAAGAGGAGGGAATGTATTATTAACTGCATATTACTTTGTATTCCTTGCCTGTCAGTTTTGATACAATATGCCAATAAAGGTTGATTGATTCTTTTGAACTATGGTGCAGGAGAAGACTCTTGAGAGTCCCTTGGACTGCAAGAAGATCAAATCAGTCCATCCTAAAAGAAATCAACCCTGACTGTTCCCTGGAAGGCCAGATAATGAAACTGAAGCTCAAATACTTTGGCCACCCAATGAGAAGGGAGCCCTCACTGGAGAAGACCCTGATGCTGGGAAAGACTGAAGGTCAAAGAAGACGGAGACGGCAAAGGATGAGATGGTCAGACAGTGGCATAGATGCAACGAACATGAAACTGAGCAAACTTCAGTGGACGGCGGAAGACAGGAGGGCCTGGCGGGAGATGATCCATGGGGTCGCGAAGAGTCGGACTCGACTGTGCGACTGAACAACATCAACAACAAGGGATTCATCTGGCAGCATTCGTTGTGACCCCCTTGGCCTTGGCCTCGTGGTTTGTGAGTCTAGCCACACCTCGGCAGGGTTGCCAACTCTGGGCTGGGAAGATCCTGGAGATTTAGAGGTGGAGCCAGGGTCTGGCGGGGTTTGGGGGGGGAGAGGCTTCAGTGGGGTACAGTGGCCATGGAGTCCACCCTACAAAACTGCCGTTTCCTCCAGAGGGACTGACCCCTGTCGTCTGGAGATCAGTTGAAATTCCAGGAGATCTCCAGGCCCCACCTGGAGGTTGGCAATGCTAACCCCAAGCCTTATCATGAAGGCCGGCTCCAGGTTTTCATGGGCTCTTTGTCAGCTCTTTCCACTCTGCGCATAACCATAGAATCGTAGAATGTGAGAGTTGGAAGGGACCTTGCAGGCCATCTGGTCCAACCCCCTGCACTCTGCAGGAGCATAGCCGAAAGACAGCCTTACATACCTACAACATACCCGAAAGATGGCCATCCAGCCTCCGCTTGGAAACGTCCAGCGAAGGAGCATCCACCACCTCCCGAGGCAGTCTGTTCCACTGCTCAACCACTCTTACAGTTAGGAAGTTTCTCCTGACATATAGCCGGCATCGACTCCCTTGTAATTTCGACCCATCAGACCTAGTCTTGCAATCCGGAGCAAGAGAGAATAGATCTGCTCCATCTTCTACATGACGGCCCTTCAGATATTTGAAGGCTGCAATCATGTCCCCTCTAAGCCTTCTCTTTCCCCGACTAAACAGACCCAACTCTTTCAGCCTTTCCTCATAAGACTTGTACTCCAACCCTCTCACCACCCTGGTTGCCCTCTTCTGGACATGCTCGAGCTTGTCAACATCCTTCCTAAAACGTGGTGCCCAAAACTGGACACAGGACTCCAGGTGAGGCCTGACCAGAGCAGAACAGAGCGGAATGACCACCTCCCGTGATCTGGACACAATGCTTCTGTTCATGCATCCTAAGATCGCACTGTTTAGCTTGTGATCCACCAGAACACTCAGATCCCTTTCACAGGTGCTGGTGTCAAGCCAAGTCCCTCCCATTCTATATCTGTGCCTTGGGACGTAGGAGTTGCTGGGGGGTGGGTGCACTGGGGGGGGTGCACTGAAGTGGCGTGTGATCCACCGTCTCCACCTGCAGGGCCAGGGATCCCGGGACGCCCTCCACATGTGCCACGGCTGCTAGGCAGGGTGCAACGTCTCACGGCAGCCTAGCCCGTCAGTCCCCATCTTCTTCCTGCTGGTCTCCACAGACTCCGAAGGCCAGGAGGTGACCTTCCACTGCGTCCCACGTCAGATCAGAGCTTCGTTAAATGTCACCGATGCAACCTCAGCTTGGGGTGAGCGTCGGGCAAACAGACATCCGCCTTCCCTGCCGTGGACCAAGACGTCCTTCTTGGCCCAGTCAGCGGCCGTCGTAACCTTTCCCTTTGGGAGAGAAGAGCCGCTGAACGAACAGCGAGAAGCCAAGAGATGCCATTTAGGAAAGGTAACAGAGGAGGAGCCCACTTCGTCAGCGAGGCCCAGAAAGCAAACTGTCACAGACGTCCAGGTGGATCTTCTTCCCCTGGACTAGACGGCTCTGGGGAGGGGAGGGGGGGAGGGACACGTGCCCCCCCCCCATTGCTCTCAGGCTGAAGGTCAGCGGCAGCCCTTGAATACCTCGGAGGCAGGAGACGCCGGTTCAGGTATTGCAAACGCTGGAGTCTGCGGCACGGAGACCCTCCGGCTTTGTCTGGTCGCCCAGATGGGGCTCTGGACCTGCAGCTCCTTCGCTCCAAGGGGAAAGATCTTTCTGCTAGTTCCTTCTTCTCAGGGTGATGAAAGGAGGAGGAGGAGGAGGAGGAAAAGAAGAAGAGGAGGAGGAAAAGAAGAGGAGGAGGAGAAGGAGATTGGATTTATACCCCACCCTTCACTACCCGAAGGAGTCTCAGAGCGGCTTACAAACTCCTTTCCCTTCCCCTCCCCACAACAGACACCCTGTGAGGCAGGTGGGGCTGAGAGAGCTCTTTTCAAGAACTGCCCTTGAGAGAACAGCTCTGAGAGAACTCGTGACTGTCAGAAGGAGAAGAGGAGGAGGAGGAGATTGGTTTTCTACCCCGCCCTTCACTACCCGAAGGAGTCTCAGAGCGGCTTACAATCTCCTTCCCCACAACAGACACCCTGTGAGGT